TACTTCCTGGAGACATCTGATCCTAACTGTCAGCTCCGCCCAGAGCAGTTCAGAGCCAAGATGATCATGTTCACCTTTGGAAATGCTTTGGCACGTGCACACAAACTGTACGGGGTAAGGGTATACAAAGAAACGCACAGGCAAAAGTGTCAGAGCGCTCACTGTTTCTCCTTAGTCTTGACAATTCATCTGTTTTACACAATGTGTGTGTGCGTGTATGTATGTGTGTGTGTGGGTGTGTGTGTCTCAGACACAGCCACAGAGCCTGTTGGAGCGTCCCATAACCGTACAGGCAGTGGGGACCAACGGCAGAATTTTCCAGTTTCTGGTATTCCAGCTCAACACCACGGATCTCTCTGGAGATGACGGCATCAAGAATCAGGTCGGTTGAATGTTCTCTGGAGTTTCCATGGACTCATTACAAAGGAAAGAGAAAACAAATGCTAATCTGTCTTATCCCAGTCACTGTAAGACAGATTAAAACAGAAGGGTTTGAGTAATAACTTTTGGTGACATGTTTACTGTTAAAATCCTGCGAATATGGAAGTGCTATGATTCAGGACACTGGAGTTAAATCTGTGAGTCAGGAGGTTTTAAAGTGTAAAGAATTGTTCTTTAAAAAATAGAAAAAGGGTTTTTGATTCCAACAGAGTTCATTCAGCTGAAATTTTTTTCACATTTTGTCATTTTGCCAGTGATGTGAAAAAGTGACAATTCAATTCATAAACACTTTATTTATTAAAAGAGGAAAAATTAAATATTGTTGTAACTCACATAATCCGAGCTTCTCCAGAGTCATTGTGGATAATTATGCTGAGGGCAGGAAAGATCCTCTGTAGCATTCAGTCTTGAAACAAATGTGCAGAGGCTGAAGGCTGTTGTTGTATGATGTTATGACATTCTAATAGCTCAATTTCTGTTCAGCAGAGATGATATTCCACAGCAACATGTCCTGGATGACACCATTAGTTCTTAGAAAACTCTGCTAATCCACCTCATTTGCTTTTGTTGCTCCTCTTTAAATCCCTGCTTGGTCAGAAACGGGTCCCTCTTGAAAAAGAGATCATAGGTTCCTATCTTTTTAAATAGAGGTTATTGTTAAATCTGGCAGAGAGACGTTGGATATGATCTTGGAAGAGATGGTTTGAACTCTCTCTCTCTCTCTCTAGCCTCCAGCCTCCATTTTAGCTCCTCTAAGCTTTGGACTGTAGTCCATAGCTCAGAGGAGTATTATTTGACCTTTTGAGATGCTAATCTGTTGCTCCTAGCTGTAAAAAAATGACACCTTGTTGCCGCAGTTTCACATCATAACTGTCCAAATGTAAAAATGTAAAAGCTGAAATCCAAAAATTACAAACAAATTATTTCAGCTAATAATTATTTGACCACTTGGAGGCACTACAAGACCGTTGAACTTTAATGCCCAGATCAGTTGCTCCTTAAATATGGTAAAACAATAAGTAAAAGTTAACTGACCTGTCCTGATGCTGTGGAAGACTGTGAACTGTACCCACTTCATCTTATTTAGATTTTTCTATGCTTTATTTGGTGATGTTACTCAGCTGCAGACTAATTCCTAACCTTCAGGTAAATGTTTTTCCTGTGTTTTCGTCTGCTGTAGGCCTGGTTGGATGAAGATGTTGAGCTGTATGATTTTGCAAAGGTTCGACCCTTCATCAAGAGGAAAGAAGTGAAGGTAGGAAAATCTAGTTTTCAGTTCAGTGTCTGTAACTAGTATGTTTTTCACATGTTGAAGAGTCATCTCCATATTGTAACTGGTTTCATTACATGTGTCGTGCATCAGAAGAGGTGTGGGTGGTAAACACTGACATTAACAGATGGCTCTTCTTTTCAGGTCCCAGCTGGCCTGGCAGGATACAAACCAGAAACATTCAGCAAATTCCTGGCGCTGTACCTCCACGGAGCGGCTTAGGACTGCTGCTCACTTCAGTCATTTGATTATGTTTGCTTATGAACACATTATTAGCAGAGAGTTGCTGCTTGTCAAGTATGGGATGCAGAATTAAATGTTAACTTTGATGAACTGAATTACTTCCCATTTTCTGCCTCCATCCATGTGCAAGAGTTTAATAAATGAAATTGGGTTCAGGATTGCATCTTGTATCACTCAAATAAAGGAGAACTAAAATCTCATTTAAAGAAAACCTTATTACCAAAGGTGACAGTATTAATGGATTTAGCTTAAGAGGCACAATACAAATCAAATCGAATCAAATTTTATTTGTATAACACATTTCAGCAGCAAGGCTTTTCAAAGTGCTTTACATCATAACAAACACAAAACACAAAGCCATGCAACATAGACTCAATAATCAAAACATTACATTTAGTCAAGTGCCATCATTAAATTCATAATTGATTACATTTCAAATAAAACTCTAACCATCTGGGTTTTAGTCGAGATTCAAAGGAAGTCAGTGTTTCAGCTGTTTTACAGTTTTCTGGAAGTTTGTTCCAGATTTGTGGTGCATAGAAGCCGAATGCTGCTTCTCCTCATTTGGTTCTGGTTCTGTGGATGCAGAGCAGAACCAGAACAAGAACCAGAACCAGAACCTGAGGGGTCTGGAAGGTTGATACAACAACAGCAGATCTTTAATGTATTGTGGTGCTAAACCGTTCAGTGATTTATAAACTAACAGTATTTTAAAGTCTATTCTCTGAGCTACAGGGAGCCAGTATAGGGACTTTAAAACTGGTGTTATGTGCTCCATCTTCCTGGTTTTAGTGAGAACATCAGCAGCAGCTTCTGGATCAGCTGCAGCTGGAGGATTGATTTGTTAGGCAGACCTGTGAAGACGCTGTTACAATAATAGATACGACTGAAGATAAATGTATGGATGAGTTTCTCTAGATCTCACTGAGACATCAGTCCTCTAATGTTCTTCAGGTGGTAGAACTGTCTTAATGTGGCTCTGAAGGTTCAGGTCAGAGTCCATCTACTCCCATACAAAATAATCTCTAAGGCCTTGACATCCCATGGAGTTCAGTTAACTTCATCATCAATACATGGATGGAACATGGCCCGTGTGTAAATCTGTTTCTCAGCAGTAGGCAGAGCTGAAGCCATATATGCAAGCCAAGCGACTGCTTAGGTCCCCAACACCACCAAGGGGCCTCCAGGAGCATTATTTGACTTATTTTGTAGTGATTGCATGTTTTGCGCATTTTACAGATCTGCTCCAAATGCTAAACCTAACTTGTGTACAGTAAATTCAGTATTTACAGATAATCACCGTAACATGCCACATTTAATTAATTAGAGCATCTTTGTCTGTTTGCTACTCCTCTAGGTTTAAAATCATCAACAGAATGATGTAGGCTAATTACAAATGACACTAGTAATAGTAGATATAGTTTAAAGTCTATTCTCTGAGCTACAGGGAGCCAGTGCAATCTAAGAATGATAAAAAGTCTGTTGTTGACATGTTGATATGAGAGGTCCAGCCCTGAACTGAAGCGTGCAGCTAAAGCTACAGAGAGATGGGTTGAAAACAAGGTGGATGTTATGGAGGGGCCCAGTCAAAACTCAGATCTCAATCCAGTAGAGAATTTGTGGCTGGATATGGACAGGACTGTTCACAGCTGACCCCATGCAACCTGACAAGTTTGATCTGTTTAGCAAGAAGGATGGAAGACACAGCCCAGATATTTGCTTTTCAGTGATATTTGAATTAATGGAATGCTCCTGTATTTGTACAGAAATGAATGTAAAGTTATGGATGTGGTGGTCAAGCAAACACATTCAGTTAATTTTAACCATTGTCGGTTTCTGCTTAACCATAAAACAGTTTGTGTCAAAGGCAAATTCAAAAGTGATCAAGAGTATAAAAGTGGGTCTAACTGGGCAGGGCCCCTAAATGTATTTAAGGCTTCAGCCCAAAATCTGTGACTTCAAATTACAGTTCATAAAGCCTCCTGTCAACAGGCAGTAGGGGTACATTATACACTTTCTGAATCCTTAGTCTGTTGAGTATTTCAGTTGTGTCTCTATTGTGCATAATCATCTGGGTTAAAAGAAGTAGGTCCAGTTTTGGCAAAAAGTGTATTATTTTTTGGTTTAACAATCTCTAGTGACCTCTGTGTTGGTTAAAGCATTTAAGCCAAGCTTTGAAGGACTCAAAGCTTGGCCAAGAGGAAGAGGGTCCTTTTTAAGATGATACTATCAAGAAATTGATATCTACCTTTTTACAAAACTAAACATTATGACTAAACTAGACATGTCGCTGTCTCAAAAGCACAAGTTGTCCAAGGGATTGTTAACTTCGTGTGGTGATAACATTAAGTTAATTTCATGTAGTTAACTTGCCTATGACTAAGCTACCACTTTCAAAGAGATGTCATAAACAAAATATTATTAACGCATGTATCTTTTCAAAAGTCAACGGCTAAGCTTTCACCCTGAGATGGACCAACACATAAATATTAATGTCTATGGTCAAAACAACGATAGCTACTAGCTAACAATCCTGTTTCATAAAATAAAGATTTGGGGAGATGTCTGTTGGTTTATAATCAATAGTATATAAGGATTTTGTTTTACATTAGGATAATATTGTCGTTGGGTTACACAAGTATTAAAAATATATTTTTAATTGATTTGATTGTATTTTTTGCAAAGTTTTTTTTATTCACACATGTAAATTCAATATTAAATCCCTTATTTGTGACCTTTAAAATTGATCTATTTAACTACTTTCAGGCACCATTTCATTCAAAAATCGGTGGGGGAACTAAAACACCCAGTGCATGATCTAACTTCAATTTCTGTACATGATGCTCTAAACCCCTGGCTGATGTTACTATTATTTGGTATACTGTATTTTGTAGTACTTTGTTCTTTGAACACAATGACAATTATTATTTATTAAGATAATTATAACATCGTCTAGGAAAATAGGTCCTCTCATAACAAGTGGTATTTAATATGAAAAATTTTGTTAGAGTTTATTGATTTACAATTTTAGATAATCCGGAAGTGTTTCTTCAGCGCATGCGCAAATGAGCGACTAAAGTGGCTGGAGCATCCGGAGCATATCGTGCAGTGACAAGCGTTGACTTGAAAGTTTTCTGCAATTATGGCGGTTAGGTTGGTTCAGTCTCTTCCCCGTCACGCTGTGCATTTATTTTCCTTCTCATTGAGGCATAACGTGCCGCTTAGGACTGTTAGGAGGTCTGCTCCCATCCTCAGCAAGGTAACTCACCACTACTGCTAACTAGCTCGTTTTAGATAGCTTAGCACTCACTTTAAAGTCACACACTTGGAGCACATTTTCATGTTGTTGGCTCATGCTTGTGAGAGCCATGTAAATGTCCAGAACAATTTTTAGCAAATTTGAAAATCAGAAATATACGTCGTTTCATTTAAAAAAGGGATTTAAAAATCATATGATTAGCAATACCCTTGGATGGGCAGGTGCTCAAGTTAAAAAGGGGCACATGGAACAAAATCTTAGAACACCGTACAATAACATAACCACAACAGATATTAATCTTAATTAAGTAAGAGTAGCAATTGTAATATCAATCAGGTAAAACGTACAGTGCAGTATAACTCCTCCTATCAGTACTTTTTTCCCCCCAAAAACTTACTTAGGTAATTTTTTAAACAAATAAACCTAAGGAGCAGACATAGCCAAAGATTACTGCAGCTCCGATGTGCTAACGCTATAGCAAGTCCTTTCTGCTTAATGCTGTCAAACCCTGTAGTACACACACAGTCTCTAGAGCTGTGTGTTTTAATTGTTTAATTTAGTTTTATTTAGCAGGATGGAGGATGAAAAATAGCTCTTGAATTCTAAGGCTGCATTCACACTGCAGGCTGAAGTGATCCAATCCAAGATTATTTTGACGTAATGCGACCTGTATCTGATCTTTTCATGACAGTCTGAACAGCACACTTTGGATTCTTTTCAAATGCGACCCGGGCCACTTGCATATCTGATAGGTATCCGATTGTATCCAAATTAACACTGGTCACGGATTATTATGGCCATCAAAATCTGTGACCAGTATTTGAGGGTTACATATTGTTATAAGTGTGATATGACTGTAATGGTGGCAAAAACATTAAAAATCGTGTTAAAAACTACCAGAGCGCTTAGAATCATTTCTTAATCGTTTAACAATTTATTAAACAGCCACATTTGGTTTACATATTTTAATTGCAGCACTTAGGCATTCAGTGCAATGATCAAACAGTTTAGAGTCAAATACGAAGTAATATGTTATATTTTCTCCATCAGTGTGATGGTAATAAAAGAGCCATGAAGTTTACAGTCCCAGCTGTATCAGTATTTATGCAGTTTACGTAAATACTCTTCTTCTCACTGATCTTCAAGACGTCCCTGCGCTCTGTTGCCCTCTGCAGTCACAGAAAATGATGGGTCACAGATTTTGATTAACACCTGTTGGACAATCAGCTGGACAAATGGCCGCCTCGAACTCAAGATTCAAACACTCTTCTTAAATTGTTCATGCAGAGATACAATTTAACGGATTTATAGAGAGAAAAATATCCACTGGACTCCACTTTCACCTGGAGTAACAATGATGGGTCTAAACAGTCTCATGTTGACTACTGCTTAGTATCTGACTCCTTAAAAGCCAATAACATCATTGTCAATATTCTTCCCACTCTGCTCACAGACCATAAAGCAATATATATTTTTATAAATCTGTCTGGTAACCATTCACAGAAGAGGAAAGCCTACTGGATCCTAAACAACTCTTTATTTAAGTTAGACTCAGTACAACAAAAAAATCTTCCAAACAATTTCTTATTTTTTTTGACAAAGCTAATACTGAAAAAAAATATGGAGCCATCTGGGAACTTTTTCAATTTGAGATTGCGAAGTTCCTAAGACAAACTGGTTCTGATTTTAAAAAGTCTAGGAAAGTTGAAGAAAAGAAAATAATTAATGAAATTATGAGGTTCTCCAAAAAGAGCCCCTTAAATTTGTCAGATGTTGATAAAATAAATTTAGCCACTTTACAAAATAAGCTGGACGAGATTTACAAAAACAGGACAGAAGGAGTCTTTGTAAGATCCAGGTTAAAATGGCTGGAAGAGGGCGAATGTTACTCCTCCTATTTTTTTTTTAATTAGAAAAGCACCGCGCTAAATCCAATACAATTCAACAGTAAAACAGATGGGCAAGTATCCTCTGATGCAAAAATTATTGCAAATTATGTCTCTTCTTTTTACAGTAAACTTTATGCTCTTGATCAAACAAGTGGAAATCCTGAACTCTTCTTGAGTTCTGTCAATACGCAACAAATACTTGATTCTGAACGTGAGATTTGTGATTGTACTAAAACAATTAATGAAATAATTTATTCTATAAACCATTTAAAGAACAATAACTCCCCTGGTTCAGATGGGGAATTCTACAAGCAGTTTGGTGATCAACTTGCTCCTTTTCTAGCTAAAGTTTTCTTAGAAAGCATTGAAAAAGTCTCTCCCCCCGACGTTAAATCAGGGGATTATTACCCTTAAACCTAAGCCCAAAAAAGACAAGTTACTTCTTGATAATTGCTATGTCTGATTATAATGATTATAAAATCCTAGCATCAGTATTTGCAAAAAGACTTAAACTAGTTTTAAATACAGTTATTGGAGAAACAATCAGGATTCCTGCAAAATAGACACATTTCCAATAACATACGGCTCGTTCTTGATATTCTGGACTATTCAGCATTAATTAGATAATAGCTTCATACTTCTTTTAGACTTTTATAAAGCATTTGATTCCATGAATCACAACTTTATCTTTAGCCGTCTTCATAAATTTGGATTTGGTCCTTTTTTCTGCAGTACAATTAAAGCATTATATAGTAATGCTAATTGCTCTGTCAAATAAAAAAAATGGCACCTCACCTAGATTTAACCTATACCAAGGAATTAGGTAGGGCTGCCCAATTTCCATTTATCTCTTCCTTTTAGCTACTCAGACTCTTTCTGATTACATTTCTATAAATCAACTTAAAAGTATTTCTGTATTTGGTAAAGAAATACGAATTAGTCAGTTGGCTGATGGTACGACTGTTTTTAAGAGATAGGAAAATAGGTCTAGTTTCCCCTGCTTTAAATTGAATCCAAACTTTCTCTGATGTTTCAGGGCTAGGGTAACCCTGTTATCTACGGCAGAGGGAATATCACGGCTCACTTATCCTGCGCTCTTCTTGCATTCAGACAACCAAACTATAAAATCTATTGACAAAATGTTATTCAATTTCTTATGGAAAAATCTTATACATTACTTAAGAAAATCAGTGGTAATGAATTCTTATGAAAAAGGAGGGTTGAAATTTCTAGATTTCACAACTTTAAATAAAACATTCAAAATAAATTGGTTAAAGTCGTATCTAAAAAAATCATCCTCCATTTGGAATACTTTCCCAAATTACATTTTCTCCAGTGTAGGGGGTCTTAATTTCCACCTCCTCTGTAATTATAAAGTAGAGAAAATACCAGTAAAACTTTCTGCATTTCACAAACAAGCACTTCTTTCATGGGCACTTTAATGTAAGCATCATTTTTCTCCCCATAAATTCTTCATCTAGAATAACCAATATATCCTTCACAAAAATAATTCTTTATTTTACCCTAAGTGCTTCGACAATAAAATCCTTCTGGTGTGTCAGCTGGTTAACAAAAATGGGTGTTTACTCAGTTACAGTGAGTTCAAACTCAAGTATAAACTCACTGTAACTTCTAAAAAATATGATATTGTCTTTGATGCTGTAACTAATGAAATATGTGAACTCTTTAGAAATAATGTTGTTGAATATAAAGCCTTGTTGAATGTAACTGACTCCATCGTTGGTAAAGAGTGTTTTTCTTCTACTTGTAAGAAGAAAAACCCTGTTTCAACAAGATATTATTTCTGTACCTTCATCTGTTTTCTATTGGAAGAATTCTGTCCCTGATGAAGGTGGACTCATCATCAGAAACTTGTCATAAACAACAAAATGAAAGATGTCTCTTTTAAAAGGTTACATCGAATTTATCCTACTAATCAGTACATGGCACAGTAACAAAACAGTAGACCCCAACTGTAAGTTCTGCAAAGAGCATCCAGAAACAATTAGTCATTTATTCTGGAATTGTCGTATCACAAGAAAATCTTGGAAAGAGTTCAATAACTTTATAAATTGTTATATTGATGCTAAATGTTCCCTGAGGTATGAGCATATTATTTTTGGTTTTATGGTAAGAATACTAATGCAGACAAAAGACTGGCAATCAATCAATTATTATATTTGGCAAATTTCATATTCACAAATGTAAATTTTCATCTTCTTCACCTTTTTTTACAGTTTTGGTTAAGGAAATCAACTATTTATCCACTATTTCCAAGAGTATGAACAAAAAAAGCTGTAAAAACTTATGAATGTTGTAGATCTCTTAATATTTTTAATTTGTCATGCCTGTAATATCTGCTCTCTATTCTTTTTGTTTTTCATACCAATGTATTTACTGTTGTAAGCTATACGCTGGCATACTTTGCAATATTTTGTGTTCCGTTTCTTTGTTTTTCTTTGTATTTGTAAACAAAGATGTTCATAAAAAAAAAAAAGGCAATTTCAAATATGTATGCCAGTGGTCCCCAAAGTTGGTCCTGGAGGGCCGGCATCCTGCGTGTTTTAGTTCTCTCTCTGGTGTAACGCACCTGGATCCTATGATGGCTCATTAGAAGGTCTAAGAAGAACATTGACTTGTTGAGGAGGTTGCTGTTACCACCAGGGAGAGAACTAAAACGTGGAGGATGCCGGCCCTTGAGGACCCACTCTGGACACCCCTGATGTAAGCTAAGCTCCACCGTTAACCTCCATGTTTACTTCTGCAAACACTGAGCACTTCTTCTTTTTACTGCGGTTGGCAGAACACTGAGAACGCTGACGCTATTGCGCCCTCTACTGTGCATGCGGGACACTTTCAGGTCGTTTGCCCGTTCAGACTGCAGAACACATACAGGTCGAATATGTGTGGCAGTGTGAACGGCCCAGCAAAAAGAATCCGATTTGACAAAAAATTGGAATTGGGTCACTTCAGGCTGCAGACCTTTATTGTAGAGGGGAGATACCACAGCAGATCATGTGGAATTAATGAATTTATACAAAATGATTCAAGTGATTCATTTTGTATGAGTCACTTGATGCAGTAATTCATACAAAATGACCCCTGACAGAGTACTGGGAGTAGGTATTGTACAGGACTGTTTTCTAAATGCCAATTTCCTCCAAGGAAAACATTGGTATATTAAATTCTTTTTACCATTGGTTTTTTGTAATAGTATTCTCATTAACTGTAAATTTTAATTTACATTAGCTGTGAACCAGAATAACATAAAATAAATAGAAAGAAACACTTAGAATATATATTACTCTGTGTGTGTAATGATTTTATGTAGTAGGAATTTGTTTTTTGAACTTGATAAATAAAATATATCATCACATCATCTGTACCTGTGGTGAATTCAGTGGGTGATTTAGACATCAAGTATCAAAAGTTAGCTGAAGACTGCTAAAATTTTGAGTTACATTGTTCACAAAGGCTCTACAAGACTTTAAAACAGTGGTCCCCCAACTTTTTCCTCTGAGGGCCACATAACTTTTCCCTTCTCTGGTGGGGGGCCGAAGTCAGTTTGTAACAGAAAAAGTGTGACATTTATCACCTGCGTTGCTGGTCTTGGAAACTGTTTGGGGGGGGGATTCTCAATTGATTTTTAACACATTAATTTCTCATGTGTTAACATAAAGGCTCGTTTTGAATTATAAGCTGCTCCTTACAGGCATTGCTTCGAAGAACTCGACCTGGAATGCAGCGTTCATAACAGACACGTGCGTTCATCTGCTCTACCGCTAGCAAACAACCATACTGATTAAATAACATAAAAGTCAAGCAGTTCCCTAAAAGTCCAACAGATGGCAGCAATGCGCCATGCAAGACAAAACACCTACAGTTTACAAGACACACTTCCTGCTAAAGAGCCCCCTGGTGGTTGAAGAAAAATCCACATATAAACCGGAAAATACAATAAATGAAAAAAAATCTGAATGCTCTCTGGTATTGTTCAGGGGGCCGGACCAAATGTGGAGACGGGCCAGATCCGGCCCGCGGGCCGTAGTTTGGGGACCCCTGCTTTAAAGCCATCAACAGAATTTGGGGGTTCTTTTAAATTGACAGATATCTGATTATGTTTATTTTCCTCTATCAGTGACATTCTTTGCATTTTTGCAAAAATAATGAAACCTATCGATGTAACTCTTGTTTGTGTGTGTATGTGTGTCTGTCTGTCTGTCTATTCATTCATTTGTGCAAGCAGGTTCACTCCACCTGTCAGGGCAGCCAGAGTCTCTCTACAACAAGCTACACTGAGGATGGAAGCCTGGTTTACACGGGCAGCCTGGGGACTGCTATTAGGGGTCAGTTATCTCAAAATGTTTTGTTCTTTTATCATCAGAAAGTGTGGATGTATGATGATTATAAATTTGGGACCAGTCATAGTTCAAATAAAATTTGACACAGACATGTTAAGGAGGATAACATAGTTTGATTTCAGTGCAGAAACATATTGTCAGAGAAAGCAGTATTGTCAAGAAACTAGAAAAACTGCATTTGCCCCGGAAATGCAATGTGAATGCTGTATGCTAAATGTTTTTGGAGAAAATGCAAAAATACCACCCAAACAGTATTAGAAATTGGTGCAGAATACTGCCTTACAAAGCTAAATTCAAAGGTCCCAACAGTTCATAAGGTACTAATGATCGCATTTAGGCTAGCACTAGCATGTTGACACCTGAGTGAAGTTGGCCCCCCCACCTTCTTCAAATCAGACAAAATGGGTGTCAATCAACTCGGCTACGTTTGTGTTGATTTGTGCAGCAAAAAATTTCGTTTGTGCTGCTTTGGTTTTGAAGATATTAATGAAAGTGTAAAGGTCAAAAGGTCAACCAGCACCGCAACTTTTATGAAATCCAACTTTCTTTATATCTTTAAAATGATAGCGGCACAAACGAAAACTTTTGCTGCACAAACCAGCACAAACGTAGCACAAACGTTTGACACCAATTTTGTCTGATTTGATGAAGGTCGGGGGGCCAACTTCACTCAGGTCATGTTGACCTATAGCAGTGGTTCCCGAACTTTTTCTCCTGGGCCCCCCAAGTGGTTTCCAAACCATTTCTGGGCTTACAACTAGCTGCCTGGTTGAAAGATGTGTATGATCGAAGGGGGGAGGGAGATTCTTAGAGACTTGCTGTTATACTCAGCCCCAGCTCCAGACAGACAACGGTGGGGCGGGAGGGTCAACTTTTTTGGGGGCAAAATAAATTGTAGCTGAACATAGACAACACCATCGGTAGCCTACAG